AAGGTGGTACTCCAAACGATGACTGGCCCAAAATCATTTCTCACAGGTACTTTACCTTTTTTAATTTATATTTATTTTTATCAAAAATAAAATAAATCTGTAATCAAGCCAGTGGTGTAATTGAGCCCATACATTTTAGCTAAATGACGGAATCAGTTGCAATGCATTTCCAGTAATTGGAGCTAAGTCTTAATTTACACGACAACAAACTGTAACTGGAATACAGTGCAGCTGTACCTACCCACTACTGTCAACACTGCGGTGTCTCTGTAACCAGCACCATCCATCACAATGAAACAGGTGTACTCGCCCTCGTCAGTCATTTCCACATTGGAGATCAGCAGGGACGCGTTTCCATTGGCGATGGCACTGGGGAACATCCTGCTCCTCCCAGTGAGACTGTGGTCCTGAACGTGTGACAGCTCTGGGCTCTGGTGGAACAGGTGAATGCTGTTTATACGTTCCTGTCTTTTCTGAAGCCACTCGACATCGAAGCCTTTCCTCATCCCTGAAGTGTGGAACTGGCAGTCGATTCGGACATCACTCCCACGCAGCGCAGTGATCGCTGGCGTCAGCACGTGAACACGTGGGGTCCCTTGTAAAAGGAAAAGACAAAAATCAAAATCTTCACTAAAGGGGAAATTAATAGAGCGTAACTCAGGAGCCTTGTCCAGTTTCAGTTTAGTCCTGGGTGTCCCCGCTCCTGGACAGCAGATTTTTGTAGGTCCTTTGGAAGAGAGCTAAAACCAGATTATTGGCACCATGGAGAAAAAAAAGTGTGTTTATACAAGATAGTATTGTGTTAAAATGTGATAGTGAATTCTGATATTTACCCGAGAGCAGTATCGCCGAGTTGAACAGACAGATTACCTTTAACACCCTAAAGAACCAGCACAAGGAAGATTAATGACTTCATGTCGCAATTAAACACTTCCTGTCAAGTGCAGCTTTTCAAAATATTTTTTAACCATTTGCATTTCTGGCTGGTCATTGTAATCACCACACAACAGATAAAACTAAACAGAGATAGACAGATATACAGCTACACAATCCACAAAACATTTGAATGTCTTGAGAACCTGTGTGTGGTGTACTATGAACATTGGTTATGTGAGGGGTTTATGTTACGTGATTCCGGGAGAAGTAGTTTAGATTAGTTTAGGTGGGTAGCTGCGTCAGCATGCGTAGGCTGCAAAGGAACAAGTAATAGGTTTATTCCATGCTGAAAAAAAGAAGAAAGAGAACACAACGTTTCG